AATAACAAGTGCAGCGCTGATAGCTGCAACTGGCAAAGCTAGAGAAAATAAATTTCATTTGAATTTATTCACTCGCCAATAAATAAATTCTCTTGCTTTTGTAGTGTTTCTTTGAACCACATGCTATCCCGGCAGTGAGGAATAGTCTATTTCAAGATCTCAATCATTGCCGATATCTGGTGCTTAGCAGTGTCTTGAGATAACTCCCCTACCAACCTCAGTCTTCCTGTCCGGAAGTGATTAGTCTCCACTCAGCATATTCCCACAAAGGCACCAATCTACATGCCACCCATCTCTGCTATCCAAGGCAGACAATGTAACTGCTTTGTTAATCAGGGGAAATCATATTGGAGGGTAACACAGTTCAATCTTGTTATGCAGAGACTGAAATGGATCTTGACTGTTTCATTTCAACCACATAGCCACAAATATCATACAAGCGATCGATCAGTTACATTTCTGAAGTGATTGTAGCTGTTGTAGATGTGCTTATTGTAAGGAAGTGCGTCAATGGCATAGGTATTTACATATTTTGTTAACTTATATAGCTGGCCAAACAAGGAAGTTGTGCATTTTAACTGTGTAAGTTCTGAGAAGTGGTACAGACTTTGCAGCTGTTCCTACCACAGACATTCAGAGTGCGTATGTTTCCTTTCTCCACACCAACCGCAATTCAATACTGGACGTTGATTCTACACTGGCCTTTTTATATTTGTGAGAAGTAGAGCAGATGGTGTCTGGATGGGCAACATTCAGACTAAAACAGTCCTTTTGTTTGGTTTTTTGTGAATTTTCATGTCAGACTAGTCATGCAGTCTTTCTGCTTTGTTAACCATATGTGACCCATGCAGTTTGTTTTAATCCTTCTTGTTGCTAAATTCCTTTTTCTCTTTTTAGCCCTTTAGCCGCTCCTCTCAGCCTTACGTGACTAGTTGTCTGACATCACATACTTCTGCTGCACACCTCTGCTGGTATCACTGGGTAACTGGTCAGGATGAGGTACACTGATCTTGGAGACTCAGCTGTACTCTGCTTTTATTTCATGTGACAAATCTTCTGCACTAGGCAGTTTAAATCAAGTGGGAACATATGTGATGAGAGAGGGAAGGAGGGTGGAATGCAGCTATGGAGTCATGTTTTACTATCCCATTATTAGTGTTATGTATTTGGTGAATACATAATTTAACCAGGAAACAAACAAAAACCTTCCCATTTGCTGAATTTATGGTGATCTGTTCATCACAGTAGAGCGGTAGCTCCTCAATATTTGCCGCATTGTTTGTGCCTGTCCAAGTGTGTTGCACTGAAGCCCCGTGGTGGAGGGTGGTCGTACAGGTGCCCTGTCTTGTTCTGAACCTCTCTAGCAAAGACAACTCTTGTCCCAGTCATTCAAATCTTGACATCTACAACAGTAACGATCACTTCAGAAATGTAACCGATGAATCACTGGTATGGTACTTGCGGCTATATTGCACACTCTTTGGCCTTGCGTTAGTTCTGTTATTTATTAAGTTCAAGGGCGACATGGTGGCTCAGTGGTTAGCACTGCTGCCTCACAGCATCAGGAACCCGGGTTCGATTCAACCCTTGGGCAACTGCCTGTGTGGAGTTTGCACATTCTCCCCGTGTCTGTGTGGGTTTCCTCTGGGTGCTCGGTTTCCTCCCACAGTCCAAAGATGTGCAGGTTGGATGAGTTGGCCATGCTAAATTGTCCATAGTGTTCAGGGATGTGTACACTGGGTGGGTTATGGGGGATGGGTCTGGGTGGGATGCTATGATGGTCGGTGTGGACTTGTTGGGCCGAAGGGCCTGTTTCCACACTGTAGGGATTCTATGATGATTCTATGAAGTTAACGGGGTTCGGTAGCTCAGTTAGCTGGTTTCCAATGCAAAGTGATATCGACAGCCTGGGTTCAATTCCTGTTCTAGCTGAGGTCACCATGAAAATCCTGCCTTCTTCACTTGCTTGAGGTCTGTTGAACTTTAGGTTAAACCCATCACCAGTCATCTCTCGCTAATCTGAGAGTGGCACAATGGAAACTATGATCTTAGAAGTAAACAAGTAAAATGTGATAAAGTCCAGTATTTAGGAGATTGAACATGACTAAATAGCTGATGGATTATTTCTTCTTATCGAAGAGGCATAAAACCACCACTGTTATCAAACTGCCTGTCTTCAAACACCACAGGTAGAATCTGACTGCAGTATGGTTAAGTGGTTAACAAACAGAACCAAGGCTCACTCACTCATCACATCTGTCACTTTTGGCCTCTTTGTAGATCGAGAACACTTATTAACTATTTTCTAGCTGCAGATTTTTGTATTTTGAGTCTCATTTAGTATGTATTTCTGCAACGATCAACTCTAAACACCCAATGTTTTGTCCTTCTCTGTCTCTTACTGTGGCAATCAAATGGGGAAAGTGATTAGCATCTTCTATGTGGTTATACTCACCTAAGCCATATGTGGGGAGTTTCTACAGGATGCTTGAGGCTGTAGAACTGAGTACATTTACTTTCTTATAAATGCATCATTTATCCAATAAATGTTACTGTGGTTCTGAATGTGTCTTAACCGTGGAAATACCTTGTAGGTTTACAAATCTCGTGGTGTAATAAGATATAATGCAATTAATTAGAACAGACAGAGCAAAGGTATAGTTCAGTTCAAAAATGATTGAACCATCTTAAGTGTTGTTTTCAGTATTAAAAGGGCACTTGTTTAGATCTCTATGCGTTTCAACGACAATGAGAGTGAAGAGTCAGTAAGTCAGGCCATTGGAATTCTGTGCAGAGGAAATAAGTTGGAAGTGATTTGATTGGGATGCTGTCTGTTTTGGGGAGAACACTTGTTCCTCCTTGCTCCATGGGAATGGTTTTTAAAAAGCCTTAACTATTGTTGGCGTCCTGGGTGAAGCAGACCTGGCCTGTTAGCAGTCAAATACCCCTCTAGTGCTGCCACCGATGAAATGGGAACAAGAGCGTACACCTCTGAGTTTGAAGGAAGGAAAGGGAACACTCTGGGGTGCTAGCAGGTTGGCTCAGTAACGGAGAAAACAGCAGGTGCAAATCTGAAAACTACACTGAGTTCACAACAGTTGTTAGATCCTCCCCATGTTGGTGCAGAAATTGTACCTGCTGCAATGCAAGCATCTGAAATCTGGGCTGGGGAACACTTGTTATTTTTTACTTCAGTAATTCAGTCAATACACCCACCTTCCTTTTTAGATCTGTCTGAAAATAAGCTTTTTACAAAGCTGCAGCTCATTCATAATTAGTATCACTCTCAGCTCCATGAATTTCACATCTATTTTGTATTGCAGTAACCCCACCCCCAACTCTGTTGACAGATGTCTTGTCACAAAACACTGTTATTAATTCTGAAACATTCTAAAGCATCAGTTGATGGTTTCCATAATTTACAAAAATAGAGAAATTTAAAGCTTATTGCTTTATTTCTTTGGACTGGCACAATTGCATAGGTGTGATGAGGAATAAAAATGACATTCTAACGGCCTTTGTGTGTGGCCTTTGTCATAGCTATGTGATTAAATGTCAGATCCTAAAAACATTTAGAAAAACATTGAATTTAGCTGTGTTCCAGTAAGTAAACATCGCTTGACGTTTAATCTGTATATTTTATGACTGGGTGAAGGGGGGTGATTTGCTCTTCTCTTTGTCAGTGCCTTTCAGTCAGTCACAACAAATATTTTTATTTCCTTTCTTGCACGTTGATGTCATTCTTAAGGTAAACTTAGTTAAGCAAATCAAAAATAAAGAAGAACCAATTTCAACATTTTCTTCATTGAAGAGAATGGAGTTTATCACCTAATAAACTCAAGAAAAACAAAAAATGTTGTGACATCAAAACCATACATGTAAACACACATAATAAAGTTTTAAAGGAAAAGTGGTTGTGAGAAAGGTATTTGGGAATAAAGGGAAATAAAAGCAAGTGGAGGTAGATCTTAAGAGTCCTTTGCATTGCAAGAATGAAATGACCTGAGTTTAATTGTTTAGTTGGTATCTTGTTTTCTCTGTAATGACCAAGCTGCAGATAGCCCAGCAATCTTAGAGAATGGTTGTTATTGTTTCACGTTGAAATTCATTTGCTAGCTCCTGACCTTGATAGAGATTGAGTGAGAAGTTTTCAGTGTCCTTGGTGTTATAAATCTATGTTGTTTTCTCACCCCTTTATTGCTCAAACTGTGATTTTCATAAATGGTTCTTCTGCATGTTCTGCTATCTATATCAATGTTTCATTCAAAGCTGGATAGTTGTAGACATCTCCCAATATACAAAGTTAGAATGCAAGTGTGAAACATGTAAAACAATTACATATAAATTTCTTGATGGCTCACTGAGTCTCTGTGCCTTTTGATTAAAACGCAGCCAGTTTTGTATATTCTATGTAGATTGTCTTGACTTGTCAAGTAATAACAGCTATTTTAAGTATTAAAGTCAAATGATGAAAGCTGAATATTAATAAAACATTTTTTCTAAAATTTTAACATTAATCCTTATATAAATAATACCGGTACTGTTCTAATATTGTCTGTAATGGAACTTTAATCTCTTAATATTAAATGTCCAAATAAAACAGACTACTTTACTGCTTGTATATGAATATTGTATACCCTCCTTGTATTTGAATATTGAAGAATAAAACATTACAATTAGAAAATGAGGAAAAAATTTACAATTTAACCCATCAAACCTGCTGTTTTCATTAACTTCTTAGGATGCATTCAAAAGCACCCTATTTATTTTTTCCAGCGCTGCTATACATTAACTATGCTAAGCTGACTATTAGCAGGACTTCGACTGTGGCCCAAGAGAGCTCTAAACAGGCAACAGCACTGACAAAAATAGCAACAAGGACCTGCTATGCTCAAAGCTAGATGTGAATGTAATTAGTTCTATGGACTAAGAGAGGGCAGTTTTTGAATCTGACAAAGGCTTATACTACTGTATTAACATACAATGTTTATTTCGCACAGGATACAACTGATAGCATACTGAAACAGAATCTGGGTAACCATCTGAAAGAAACTGTAAGCAAGATGGAATCACCATTGTGGAACATGACTGAAGAGCCCACAAGTCTGGTGTAAGCTTACATTTCTGTATTATTGTCCAGTCTCAATTCACTATAGCCACTTTTTAATATGATTGCTTATCCCTGGTAAGACATTCCTGGTAACCTCTTCATCAACGAAGGAGAAAATACATAAGATAACGATTCCTCAGCAGTCCATTATATTGTTTGTGGCTCACTCATCAAGGAAGAAATTATTTGTTTGTTGATTTTTGTTAAAGTTAAGAGTAGGAATTAATGGGTCCTTTTCAAATTGGCAGGCAATAACTAGTGGGGTGCCACAAGGATCGGTGCTGGGACCCCATGCTATTCACTATATATATATTAATGATTTGGATGAGGAAACAAAACACAACATCTCCAAGTTTGCAGATGATGCCAAGTTGGGTGGGAGGGTGAACTGTGATGAGAATGCAGAGATCCTTCAGCATGATTTCAACCGTTTGGGTGAGTGGGCAAACCAATGACAGATGCAGTGTAATTTGGATAAATATGAGGTTATTCACTTTGGAAGCAAATACAAGAAGGCAGATTACTACCTGAATGGCTGTAAATTGGAAGAGGGGAGGGTGCAGTGGGACCTGGGAGTCCTTGTGCATCAGTTGCTGAAGGTAAGCATGCAGGTGCAGCAGGCAGTAAAGAAGGTAAATGGTATGTTGGCCTTCATTGCGACAGGTTTGGAGTACAGCAGCAGGGATGTGTTGTTGCAGTTATACAGGGCCTTGATGAGACCATGCCTGTGTAGTTTTGCAGTTTTGGTCTCCTTTTCTGAGGAAGGAAGGTCTTACACTCGGAAGTACAGTGAAGATTTACCAGGCTGATTTTGGGGATGGCGGGTCTGACGTATGAGGAGAGATTGACTAGGTTAGGATTGTTTTCGCTGGAGTTCAGATGAATGAGGGGAGATCTCATAGAGACTTATAAAATTCTAACAGGACTAGACAGGGTAGATGCAGGGAGGATGTTCCCAATGGTGGGTGTGTCCAGAATCAGGGGTCACGATATGAGGATCTGGGTCAGGTCATTTAGGACATAAATAAGGAGACATTTCTTCACCCAAAGAATGGTGAGCCTGTGGAATTCCAACCACAGGAGGTGGTTGATGCCTAAACTTTGAATGTATTCAAGAGGCGACTAGATATAGCACTTGGGGTGAATGGGATCAAAGGTTATGGGGAGAAAGCAGGATTAAGCTATTGAGTTGGACAATCAGCTACAATCTTGAAAAATGGCGGAGCAGGCTCGAGGGGCCGAGTAGCCTCATCCTGCTCCTATCTTCTATGTTTCTATATTTCTATGTTTCAGAATTGTACACATCATTCACCAAATGACTCATGGACCTGATGAGACAGAAAACTCCAATAAGAGTAACTTATTACATAAATTACAGAGTCCCTACAGTGTGGAAGCAGGCCATTTGGTCCATTGAGTCCATGCTGACTTTCTGAACAGCATCCTACCCAGGCTTCGTCCCCTACTCTATCCCTGTAACCCTGCATTTCCCATGGGTAACTCCACTAGTCTGTACATCACCAGACACTCTGAGCAATTTAGCATGGCCAATCCACCTAATCGCACATCTTTGGACTGTGGGACATTGTTATATTGCAATTGAATTTTAAACATACTAATACTTAGAAATAAACAGTTACTTTGTGGCCATCCTGAATGCCTGCATTTGGCATTAAAATGCTATTGTCTGCCTCAGAATTATTAACATGCTTCCTCCATGTAAGTTACTCATAAAACTGACACTGTTGAAAGACTGCTAACACCATCTTCAATAATTATCTAAACTTAGCAAGTCAGTCACCAGTTTTCACTTTAGGTGTAGTTTCCTCAGGGAACTATTTACAGTGACCTTTCAAATTGTTGACAAATGAGTTTGGTAAGGTTATGGTACATTTGGATAGAAAATTAGGTGCCGATAATTCTGCATAGTTTGTGTTCTCAATGTAATAGCTTCCCACTTAAATGCTGTGTATCTGTCTCATACAAAGCTATCAATGTTAAGAGATTTATGGTCAAGCAGAACAAAATAGCCTGCAAATTCATTGAGACATTGGTAAATATTGACTTTGTATATAGTATAAAATTGGTGAGTTTGCAGCTTCCCTGATTTTTATTTCCATTTGCTGCTGACCTACTTTCAGGTGTTTTATGAGAAATCAAGATCTATTCCATGGTCATCTGTTTATTAACAGTTTTGAGTGACACAGAAGTTAGTTCCATTTTAAATCACAGTGAAGTGGATTTAGGCTGGCATTCCACTGTGTTAACCAAATGAAATCAATCCAACATTGGCGGTGCAAACATCTCAGACATACAAAAGATCTCTCCCTACTGTCAAATTGATGTGTGTTCTTAGTGTGTACATTCTTGTTAATTATTTCATTAGGTCTCCCAGGACAAATTCTGAACAAGGCTACATTCCTGGAAGCTAACCCTTTAAAAACCGTAATTAATACCATGTGGACAAGATGTAATTTCATAACATAAGCTGGCCTGAGAATTCCTGAAAAATAGAAAAAAAAATCACAATATGACTGGTCACAAAAGGCACTATTACTCAGATTCACTGGTGACCTTGCCTTTTGAGAAGTTTCTGTTAACTGGATCAAGCTTGTAGGTGATATAGAAACCAATATAGAGATGAACCTTAATAAAGCTTGTTGATTTATTCACAGACACACAGTTCACTTCATACTCCCCCGAGTCCCAGCCATGTCATTTTATTTTAATCTATTTGTTCAGATGTGTTATGGCACAGCTCCATAACCAACTCATCCTGAGGTAAGATGTAAACCTGCTGGTCTATAGGAGAGTACCACTGAATCACAGGACCCTAATTGTGCCCTAACTACTGGATCAATTAACACCCAAATACTGTTCACAAAATTCATCTTAATTAGCAGTTTGCAGCTCTGAGAGTGTTATTGATGAATTTATCTTTTATATAATAATTTTTTGAGTATTTGTTTAGAAAAGACATTGGCTCGAATTTTACCAGAAGATGGGATGAGGGTCGGATAGACCAGGAAATCTGAAGAAATAGGCAGGTTAACCCAGCAACTTTGCAATTCACTCCGGATTTCCCAAGGACGGGCTGCCAATGTGAATGGGAAGCCTCATGGGTCTGATGGAATACTCTCCACTTGCTTGAATCAATGCAGCTCCAATTGGTTCCATACTATCCAGGACAATGCAACCCACTTGACTGGCACCACTTCCCCAAAGATTCACTCCCTCCATCCTTTACTAACTGCAAGGTTCATTGCAGCAACTTGCAAAGTCTCATTTGACAAACTTTTCAAAACTGAGGCCTTTACCACCTGGAAGGCAAAGAGCAGCATATGCCCATTACACTGCCATCTGTATGTACCCCTCCATGCCACACACCATCCTGGCTTGGGAATATGTCACTGTCCCTTCACTTGTCATCGGTCAAAAACCTGGAATCCCTTCCTAACAGCGCTTTTGGGTGTAACTGCGCAAGGTGAACTGCAATATTTCAATGTGGTTCACCACCACATTCTTAGGGGTAGTTAAGGATGGAACGCAAATGTTTGCCTTGCTCATAGACCCCTGTAAGAATTGCAACGGAAGAGAATAAATGTAAGCGGAAATGTGAAGAAGTCCTTTCAGAAAACAAACATATCTTGCATACAGATTCCTAATTATGCAAAAATTCCAGGCCATACCATTTGTTACTTTATACTTTTTAAAAAAAAAAGGCCTCCTTCATCTTTAAACTAGCTGTTTTTTATTCTCCAGACCGGCTTAAATGACAGACAGAATGGTAGGAGTACTACATCTGTCATGGTCCCAGTAGAAAGCTTGTGACACTGGGATCAGGCAACAGCTGGACAGAAATTTTATGCTGCAATCTGCTATCCAGAAACAAACGGGCAGCTTCAGTGGAAAAAGGAAAAAAAACTTTGTGTTCTTGTTCTTAATTTATTTAAATTAACATATTAATAATCCTTTTCTTGTTAATGCCAATTATTTCGACCATAAATTATTCCATTATTAAACTTAGGCCAAATTGGACTAAAATGAGGTAAGGCTCTATAAGTTGATGAGAGTAGATTAGTTTTAGAACTTGTCAGCTTTGCCTTTAATACATATTACTACATTTTCAAAATATCAGCTGAATACAATTTTTGCAATGCTCTAAAATTGCTAACATTGTCATGACAGTGATAAAAAATGGACTATCAATTTTCTGTTTTCATACCTGACTTCAGTACCTGCAAACATTTATGGATTAAAACGGTTTTTTAAAAAAAATGGACGAATTATGGTAAATTGGCTTTAGTACTCACCTCACAAGGTTGAACTAAGTTTATGAAGACAGTGTGAGATAAACAAAGCTGAGGAAAAATGAATATTTTTATTACAAAGTATTGAAACTCAGTCAGGTATGAAAAAAAACCTTCATCCCCTATTTTCTATTTACAAATTTCCAGAAACTTCACATGCACTCACTCCTTGTTATCCACTGGCTTGCTACCCGTGGAACTGTATGATCGTGAGGTCAGCCCTTGACCTCATCTATTTCTTTCCCCATTGTCTAACCTGGTCTGCCTCAGGAAGCCAATTGCAGCCATTCACAGTACATAGGAGCATCCCATCCCTCACAAATAACATGGACTCTGTATACTGAGATGACAGTTTCCTGCAGGTTATCCAGCATGGGAAAAACAATGATGTGAGATGTGGGGATACACAAGTGAATTTAAAGAAAAGAGCTTTTGGGCATAGAAAAGAAGGTAAATAGATCAGTAATGCAGAACTGGAACACTCTCTCACTACAGATTCCCTCAGACTCCTGCAGAGTGCCCAGTGTGAAAGCAAATTAGAGAAACAGTCTTGACCTTCTTTTGTACCAGACTCTCCCCTTTGTAAACTCTGTTTTGATATCACGCTTTCTTATTTTTTCTCAGGGTTTTTAAGTAATAAAATTCCTCCCTTCAATCAAGGAAACCTTGTAATTGACTCTGTAATTTTGACTAGTATTACATTTTAGGTGAAATGTGACATAGCTGTGTGCCAAAAATAATTTAAATGTTAGTTGCGACCAACCATGGAGTTTAGAAGGTGGGGTGAAGGGGGAGCAATTTATCCCACCTCACTTTGTCGTAACAATGTGCACTGTCAGAATTTTATTTGGACCTTACCCTTTGTGTGTTTTTTTTTATTGTGTTACAGAGGGTTAGTGATGAATGCCAGTGAGAACTCCAGCTCAATAGGCCAAGCAGATGAATCCTGTGTCAACTGGGACCCCATGCAAAACATTATTCTCCCGCTTGTCTACTTGGTGGTCCTGTTTGTTGGACTCTTCGGGAACTGCATTGCATTGCTGACATTTCTACAGAACGCCAGGAAGGTTAAAAAAGCAATCCGGGTGTACCTGATTAACCTGACACTGGCTGACATCCTGTTTAACCTCACTTTACCGTTTTGGGTGGTTTATTATTTCAAGGGGGGAGACTGGATCTTCTCAGAGGTCATGTGTCGGTTAGCTGGAACATTCTACTACATCGCAACGTACAGCGCCATCACCTTTATGATCTTCATTAGCATCAACAGATACTGCACAGTTCGAATGAGAAAACTTAACCTTCCCTTCAATAAGCCAGTTGGATCTCTTTGCACGTGTGCAGCTATTTGGATAGTTTGGATTGCATGTGCCATTCCTACATTGATACAGCAGCAGTCATTCAAGAGGGGGACTACCATTGTAAAATGTTTTGAAGAATACTCTGGCAGAAGGTTTTATGTGTATGCATCTTTCACGTTCTTCCTCATATCCTTATTGATTGTTCTACTGAGCTACATTTCAATAATGAAAGCTCTTTCAGCCCAAGGGAAAGCATCTCAAGGCATCCATCGAAGGCTGGCTAAGTCGATGGTGCTGGGGATGCTTGTAGTGTTTTTGGTCTGTGCTTTGCCCTACCATGTTTTCCTAATCCCCTGGGAGTTAAGCAGAGCTAACTCCAAAGAGATGCCTCACTGTGGCCCTCCCAAGGCCATAGACATTATCCACCAACTGAATGTGGCTTTGCTGAGCATGAATAGCTGCATTGATCCAATTATCTACTGCTTCTCCGTAAAGAGATTTCAGAGAGAGTTGATGAGAACATTCAGAAAACTGATGCGCTGCCTGCCCTTTCAAGTCCACACATTTGAGGCCTCAGAAATCCATATCAGATCGACATCACTCACTACCTCGTAGCCTTGGGGCTGAGAAGAAATGGGACCTGATCTTCAGGTCAGCACTCAGCGCTCTGCAGTCCATTACATACTTGCGGCTGAGTTAGAAATGAAATGCCAGGCCATCCTTGGGAGACATCACCCACAAGTTTTACTGATGTAAAGCATCCATCTGGCTTTTCTCAGCAACTGCCTGCACCAAATGAACCTTGGCACGACTGAAAAGATGCTTGTGACCGCTACAATTTTTAAATTCCCACAGAGTGAATTTTCGTCCTTAAAGAGTGTGCAGCTTAAACTCTAGCCACTGTTGGCGTCAGAGAGCTTGTTTTAGAGCAGCAAGGTCTAAAATTGATTTTGAATTTCGAAGTTAATGACTTTAAAGGAGCATTGCCCCTAGAAACAGATGCAAGAGAAACATGTTGATGAAGGGAGATTTGCTGAAAAAATCTTATCGTTTTTATTATAGTGAAGTCAAATGGAAAGAAGGCAAAAGACACATGTTGATAAATTCGTACATCACTGAGTCATATATTGGGAAGTACATGGGGAGGTGAATCCTTTCCTTTGTACTTAAAGCAACCTATACTCCATGTCAGAATTCTTTTTAGTGACAATGGATATGAACGTTTCTTCCATTCCCCAGAATACTCAACAGGAAAATTGAATCAGATACATTGCGCTGGTCTTTTTTCTCATTGCAATCAATCCGGGTTATTTTACTTCTTTCGAAATTTGTTTGTGACATAAATTTTCTTTTTGTAGTGATGAGCTTCACTTTTTTTATTGTGGTATCAATTTTGTACTTTGTAAAGTATTCATAATATTTTTATTTGTATTTTTCATTGAAATTCTGACCTCGACTTTGCTTAGTTAAAGTCCTGGAGGCAATTAACTCCAGAATCTGTTTTTAATGAGAACTGTATTGTCTTAATGATTATGTGGGCAATGTATATAAATGAATGCTGGCACACCAAGTGTAAAATAAACCTTATTATTTATGAACGAAAGAATCACAAAAACAGAGAGTCATTTCGTCTGTCAAATCAATGCTAGTAATTTCCATCACATCCACCACCAGGTCTAATTGCACTTTACTGCTCATTCCCCAAGTGCCCTCAAGTATATCCATCCGCTAATTCCCTTTTGTGACCTCTTGACACATTGAGAGAGCAGAGAGGGGCCAGGGGATTTTCTGAAGCCTGCAGCAAATGTGGTGCATGGTGTGGCTTAATTTGACAGGAAGAAAACTGTTGATTTTCCAAAAGCGGGTTGAGCTGCACAGGTAAAAACAAGGACATATTTGTAATGTGTCAAAAATTCCACTGGCCTGTGGTAGGTTTGTATTGGTTGTGCATTTGCATGCCATAAATACTTGTCCCTGTAAAACATTTCTTACCTTGAAGGCAAAGTCGGCAGTGTACGAGAATCTAATGGCACCCAATTCACAGTGGCTTAAAAGTGGGATGATCATTGGCAGTAATGTGTAAGGTCAGCAGTGACCCTCGTTTTCCCCTCGTTGACACAAAGAGGAGAGCAGGAGAATGACAGATTGCATGGAGACTTGGGATTGTCAAGTAGCAATCAATGGTGAAGGGAATTGTGGAGTGGGTATGGAGGAGTGGAAGAAGGATTGAGGAGGACAGAACGTGATGCTGCAGGGATGGAGAAATCAAATAGCAAAGGCCTGGAGTTCCGAAAGTGGTGGGGAGGCATAGTAGTGATTGGGATAATCAGTCAAAGTGAGAAAATGAGGGGTCTAAAGGGTGAATGTCAGTACTGTAAAAGTGTACATCCATTTCTGGTACCACTGCACATATAGGGGTCTGAGAGAAGTGTGTTGTGGCAGGATTTGTGGCAGCATTGGATGAGATATCCAGCAAAAGGATACTTCCTTTTGGCAGATATTTGGTGAGTGGCAAGTTGTTCCAGGAAAGACAACACAAGATTGAGTTAGAATCAGACGCACGCATGGGGGTGGAGTAAATAGCCAATGAGGAATATTTGGCAAGATATAGTGAGAAAACTCTCCAGCCCTCACTGCGAAAATCCCTTCAAAAAACTTGATGCAGCCTGTACTTAGCTAAAGCAAAAACAAGTTTCAATCCTTAGTTACGTCCACTATAAAGGAAATGTCCCAAACTCCCTGTACCAGGACATTTAGCTCTGACCAAGGTGATTTCAATAAATAAAAATGCTGCACACACAAACAAAGTGAAACCAACATAATGTGAAATTGTTATAAGTGAAATTTTATTTTGGGAAATATCTGAGCTACCTTCTGCTTTCAAGTCTTAATTTAATATCATTGTTTAGACTGGGAAGTTGTGACTCTATTGAAGAGCTTCTTATTTGACTAAGAGGCTTTTTTATTCTATCTGCTGCATTGTTAATTGCTGGTGGCTTTCACGAATGAGAAGCTCCTCCTGCCTGCTGAATTACATGTATTCCACACACATTGCTGGTTCTACACAGAATTTTCATTGTAATCGCTTGGGAAGCACCATAAAGAGAGAGAGTGGCACACAGTTCCGTTTACGACACTGGGCATAACAAAATCCCAGAGCTGTTTCAATGACGGGCTTGTAAAATGTTAATTACGCACTGCAAGTATATTCTTTCCTTACATTCACTTAACTTATGTTTTGGTGGAATCATAAAGTAATCAAAATCTGTAGCGCAGAAGAGGGTATTTCCCTTATTGCATCTGGCTGGTTTGTTTTTGCAGGTGATGGCATTTTAAGTGCACATCCTTTTTTAAAAATTGATTTGATTAATTATTGTCACATGTACCTAGGTACAGTGAAAAGTTTTGCATGCAGGTACAGGCAGATCATACCGTACAAAGTGCATTAAGGAATAGAACAGAGCGAGGAATACAATGCTATGGCTGCAGAGAAGATGCACAAAGAGTGAGGTCAACATTAGATTTGAAATTTGAGAGGTCCGTTCAAAAGTCTAATAACTGTGGGTAAGAAGTTGTTCTTGAATCTGTTGATACATGTATTTAAGATTTTGTATTGTCTGCCTGATGGAAGAGGTTGGAAGGGATTATAACTTGGGTGGGAGAGGTCTTTCATTATTTTGGCTGCCTTTTCGAGACAGTGGGAAGTATAGATGGAGTCAATGGATGGAAGGTTGGCTTGTGTGATGGACTGGGCTGTACTCACAACTCTCTGTAGTTTTTTATGGCTCTGGGCAGAGCAGTTTCCATACCAAGCTGTGATGCATCTGGATAGAATACTTTCTATGGTGCATCTATAAAAATTGGCAAGTCTTTACAGACATGCCGAATTTCCTTAGCCTCCTGAGGAAGTAGAGGCATTGATGTGCTTTCCTGACCATTATGTCAACGTGGGTCGACCAGAACACATTGTTGGTGATTGTCACTCCTAGGAACTTGATGCCCTCCACCATCTCCACCTCAGCTCCGTTGGTGTAGATAGGAGCATGTCCTTCTCCTTGCTTCTTGAAGTCAGCATGGACATGTCACCCAGGGAATAGGAAAGGGAGGGGGAGTTTTCATGGGACCGCTCTCTCCCGTGACTCCCTCGTCTGCTCCACACTCCCCACTATCCCCACCACCCCGGCACCTTTCCCTGCAACCTCAGGAAGTGCTACATCTGCCCTTATACCTCCCCCCTCACCTTCATTCAAGGCAAAAAAATCAAACCTTCGACATCAGACATGGGTTCACCTGCACATCTGTCAACTTGGTATACTGTATCGCCTGCTCCCGATGTGGTCTCCCCTACATCGGTGAGACCAAACAGAGACTTGAAGACCGTTTTGTAGATCACCTGCACTCTGTATGCAACAAACAACAACACCTTCTGGTTGCAAAACATTTTAAATCTCCCTCCCACTCCCTGGGCGACATGTCCATCCTGGGCCTCCTCCAGTGTCACAATGACGTCGCCCACAAAATGCCTCAGGAGCCTACAGCCCGATGGCTAAAACATGGAATTCACCAGTTTTAAAATCTTCCCAACCTGGCCTCATCCCATGACCAACCCTCCCTCTCATCCCCGCCTCCTTGACCTGACACAACCTGTCCATCTTCTCTCCCACCTATCCTCCCTGCCATCCCACTGACCAATCCCCATCACTTCCTACCTGCACTCACCTATCACCATCCCACCTACCTTTCCCAGCCCCACCTCTCCCCTCTATTTACTTCTGGGCTCCCCTTCCCCTCCTCATATCTGAAGAAACGTCAGCTTTCCTGCTCCTCTGATGCTGCCTGGCCTGCTCTGATCCTCCAGCTCCACACTGTGTTGTCTCTTACTCCTGCATCTGCAGTTCTTGCTATCTCAGCCAATCAGAGTTGACTTGCCAATGAATCAGCAACCTTTTTCTTTTGTAATGTGATCTGTTGAAATTTCTTGCATTTGTCCAGAGGAATGCAAGGTGAAAAGCTTCAGAAATATGTCTCTCTTATCAGGATTGATCTTATGCGTTTTCTTTGTCATACAGCATTCAGTCAGATTGTAGCTATGGCAACCGCAACAATACTGCACCTTTTGTGCTATGTTGTAATAGCTTTAATAACAATAATGGAAACATCATGGATGCTTGTATCATATTTATTATTATTTATTAATATAGCAGACTCATCTGTCCAAAGTGTTAATCTCACAAATCCAGATAAATAATTAAGGGTTGTGATATTCAGGGACGAGTTCCATGAATAGGGGAGCCATGTGGGGACCTTGTTACTTAGAGAAACAGCACTTAAACCTGGGACAGCCCCCTCAGAATGTTCACCCGATTTATTGATACCATGGTGGCTCAGTGATTGGCACTTCTGTCTCACAGTGTCAGGGACCCACGTTTGATTCCACCCTCAGATGTGGAGTTTGTATATCTTCATTGTGTCTGCTCCAGTTTCGTCCCACAGTCCAAAGATATGCAAGTTAGGTGGATTGGCCATGCTAAATTGCCCATAGTATCCAGGGGTATGCAGGCTCTGTGGGTTAGCCATTGGAAGTGTTGAGTTACAGGGATTGGATTCAATGGGCCAAATGGCTTGCTTGCACATTGTAGGGATTCTATAATTCTATGGAGGTATATCCATGGACCATACTACATTCCAAGTGAAGAGGAAAAATTACATTATTTGTGATTAAATAGATATTGCAGTTGGGAAAACAAAATTGTAAGTATCATAGTGACCATAAATAGAATTACTCGGTTCCTGATATTTTCTCATAACAATGAACTATATCAAATATTGACATTGTGGCTTGAATTTGTAGATATATGTGAATACTTCTTAAGATAGTCTTTTTTGATTCACAGTCAGACCATAAAAATATCTAGTAGAGTAAATTAAAACACAGCACCTACATCTTTTCATAAGTTTTAGATCTGAATGACGCAGTCATGTTTATATGCAGCAAGACTTGGAAGCAATTCAGTTTGGGTAGAGGGGGAGGGGAAGGGGGTTCTGAAATAAATAGGGAGAGAGTGGGAGGCGGATAGAAGAGGGATGGAGGAGAGGATAGGTGGAGAGGAAACAAACAGGTCGAAGAGGCGGGGATGGAGCCAGGAAAGGTGAGTGTAGGTAGGGAGTTAGGAAGGGGATAGGTCAGTCCAGGGAGGACGGACAGGTCAAGGGGGCGGGATGAGGTTGGTCGGTAGGAGATGGAGGTGCGGCTTGAGGTGGGAGGAGGGGATAGGTGGGAGGAAGAACAGGTTAGGGAGGCAGGGACGAGCTGGACTGGTTTTGGGATGCGGTAGGGGGAGGGGAGATTTTGAAACTTGTGAAATCCACATTGATACCATTGGGCTGCAGGGTTTTCAAAACCCCCTTCCCCTCCCCCTTTTCTGATGAAGGGTCTAGGCCCGAAACATCAGCCTCTCTGCTCCTATGATGCTGCTTGG